TTTAAATTTTACTGAATGAGTAGAGGATAGCTAATAATTAAGCTCACCCTCAAAAAAACATTTGTTTATTATGACTATATGAATCATATTACGGCTCTTTAACTTCAAAGTAATAGAGATAAGTTTTGTAATAAGACAAGTTAAAACTATTGAAAATATTTTTTATCAATTTTTGCTCCAAATATGCTAAAAATAAAATTTTTAATTCTAATAAAGTTAAAAATAATAAAATTTAATTAAACTTCTTACATAACAGAATTTACTAAAAGTTTTCATTTAATATTTTAATTATGCAATCAAACAAATAATACATAATTTCCAAAAATAGCAAAAAAAGATTTAAACAACAATAATTTCTGTTGAATTAACATTTTGAAAACTTTTATCAGTTTATTGTTGTGAATTCCCATTAAATTAAAGTTTAGTATTATTGTTATAAGATTTGCATAAACGGATTAACAAATTCTAGGAAAAACAAAATTAATCCCCCAGCTGCATATTTTTTTTATTTGGAATAACATTATTTTTTTAATAGAGTGTTGATGCTTTTTTACATCCTCGAAATCAAGCTTTTCTTTGAGTTAAGTAAAGAAGTTTTCTTCCTCCTACAACAGGTCAAAAAACTGGTCCCGAACGCCCATGCAATATTCATTGCAGGTGTGAATATTTTAAATAAAAATATTCTATTGAGTTATCTATTCCTATACGTCAGTTTTTTATAATAAATTTTCCGAAATTTATATTACTCGTATAACAAGTAATGATAATAGATGTAACATGTTTCAAAATTTGACAATCCTATTCCAATTCCAAAATACAAACTGTTCAATTTATATAGATAAAAGTATAGTATTCACTTGCAAAAATAGAAAATTGAAATATTGGCAAAACAAAAATACACACGTAAAATATACAAACATATTATGGATGAGTATAAACGGCAAACGCATACACACATTCTTACATCAGTATAAAATGAAAGCAAATTAACGTCATAACGGAAATCATAAATTTGCAAATGGAAAACAAAAAAATTTGTTTTTTCTTTATTCTTTGTGCTGTCATCCGTGTTTTTCTTTCAACTTCTATTTTACTTATATTACCTGATTATTTATTTGTTTCTATTATATTAACTATATACTTGTATATTTTTTATGCAATGCATTGTATATAATAGCATATTGTGTATATGGCGACATAAAAAGTGTATAATACAAAAAGAAACGAACATTATTGATTTTATTCCCATTTTCCCATTTGAAAATTTCATTTTCTTCCAGTTGATTAGAGACACATTCAATTTTTTTTTGTTTTTTTTATTTTATATAACTCTCAAAGAAATATATTATGCAATACAAGAATAGCTCATGACAATATTAGACTAAAATATGAGAAGCAAGTTTTATCCGTTAAAAATATTTGAACGACTGCTCTTCTGGCTTTACAAAAGATATTTTTATCTTGCAGAGAGCAGGTCGTAGAGGCAGGACCTTATATTAATTTTATTATACGTATACATAATAATATGTCAATCAATCGCATTAACGTGTTAAACTTGATTAAATGAGTAGTAAGTACAAATTTTTCTTGGTAGATGGCAATAATTCTTTTGATTTTAATGGTTTTTGATCTAAATTAAGTGTCCACGTAACTTCAAAGGTATGTTGACATACAATTTGGCAATAAAATTGTTTTTTTCTAATTTAATGTATCTATGCCTAAGTACGTTTTTAGTTTCGTCGGAAATTAAGTATATAATTATGCACCAGATATTGAAATTCTTTATTATCGAATTTTTCTTACATTCTTCCTATTCAGAAGAAATACAAACCAGTCTTGAAATTTATAATACCTTGAAGATCAATAATTGTCATTACAACAAAAAAAAATATTTATATTTTTTTTTGATGAAGTTGACAGAAATAATAAACCAAACAGAAGCAAAAATATCTAAAAGGATTTTTTTAAGTCCTTCAAAAAAAATTTACCGAAAAAAAACAACTGTATTTTCACAAAAAATTATTTTTATAATAAGTTTTTTTACACTTGGAAGGTGTTTAAATGTCATGTCGTTTTATGTATACGACCTTCTCATAAAAAAAAAACAAACAAACAAAATATTCTGCCCCCACACTTAATTCAATTTTAGTAAAAAAAAAAATAAGAATAGCAGCCCTTAAAAGACGTTTAGATTATTCGCTTCTTTCTTTTCATCACCTATGTCGTATCGTACATTTAGTTTATGGATATATACTCAAAAGAAGCCGGAAAGAAAACTAAACAACTGAAAAAAGAACAACAAAAATATTAAATAAATAAAATTTACAGGTTTATTTTTATGTTTTTCAAATATTTACTGTTGTTCTCTTTCACAATTCTCATTCCTTCTCTCTTTCTCTCTGTCATTTGTTTTTGTCTTCTCTAAAAATGTCAAAAAAGTTAAAAAGATATTCATTCAGTCAATGTGGTACCTGCTGCTTTCTTACGTTTTTGTTTGGCGCTCGCAATTTCATATTTCTCTTTCTTTCTTTCTTCAGATAACATCCAATTTTTATAGTAATTTAATTTACTGTTTTTATTTTTTTCTTTTTGCTTTTTTTTCTTTTGGAGTTGAAGTTTTGATAATGTCAAAAACATAATTTTATTCGAGACATTTTCAATATATGAAGCTCGTTAGAAATTCTTGGCACTAAAAATATATAATAGAAATGTGTATTTGTATTTTGTAAGTGTAACAACCAAGAAAATTTTAATTACATTCAACGTTGTCTTCATAGACTTATATTGAAAGATTGGATAAGGAAAAACCTTTTTATTTATTCAATAAAACGTTCTGAATCAAGAAATTAATTAAAAAAATTAAGCATATTACTGCCAATTAATATCTTTATAAAAAATTAAAAATATTATACACTTTTTATTAAATTTGTAAAATATTTAAAGAAACATCCGCCTTTATTAGTTTTAAACTACACGAAGTACTGGACACTATGTACAAATATGTCTTGAATTTCTTAACCTTATAATTTGATATTAATAATATTAATATTTTTATTAATAATATTTTTAATTACAAAATTCAGCAATTATAATCTTTTAGAAATTTTTAATAAAATGTTATGTCATTTTAATAATAATAATTTTGAGGTTAATAAAAAAACAAAGCCGGCCGAATGCATATAATGAGGAAGATATTGTGATCAAACTTCACAGTTTCATAAGTCATTAAGTTAGCCTGCCGTAGTTTTTTTTCTTTATATTAAAATATTTAAGGTTATTGATATTTATTGCTGATCAGTATGACCTTTATTCTTTCGGTTAAAGGATTGATGCCGTAACTACTGCACCATTGATCAGATATTCTTGTCAGTCTGCATACTGGTAAATTGCTATTTGCTTCATTAAACAATTTCGAATTAAAATTTTTATCTGAACTTTACTTGTGATTGTGATAAATTGAACTAATAAAATTTTTGGCCAGAACTGAATTGCATAAAATACATATATCTTTAAAAATATATCTTATTTCAACCATGTTTATAAAAAATTAACGGGGCTTACATCAACACTATAAATCGAGTGAATTTGTCAATGTTTTCATTCAAAAACAATAAAACGTACCCGGTTTGCTTTCAAATCAACTTTTGTTTAAATAGTAAACATATACAAACCACATTTTAAGCCATACTTTTATTGTTGTTTTAAAATTTAAGTGCAATATCTAAATCAGAAATATCTGAATCAGGGATAATCAATGGCATATTGGTAAAAAATTTAAATACTTTTGTCCATTTTTATGTCCTAGTTAAAATTTATTAATAAAACCAAAAATGGAGCAGAGTAAAATCATTTTTCACACACTCGAAAGTACATAAATTTATTTTTATATACTCCGTGCCAAGCCAGCAATAACCATAATTTGTTTAATATAATTTTTGTTTTTTTTTAATAAACTTTACATAAAAAATTTGATTTATTTTATAGTCTTTAAGAATAGTCAAGCATAAAATTTATGAAATACCTGTGCTAAGAAAAAATAAACACAAATTATAAAGAATTCCTTTTTAATATTCAAGTGATTAAAATTTCATAGTCGTCGCCATTTAAAAATATTACAAGTATATATTGGCCAAATATAAATAAGCACCAGACAGTTAAAAAAAAATTAAAGAATCTTAAAAATTTCAAAAAGAGAAAAAAAGTTTTTAACAATTTCTTTCATTTTTAATTTAGAATATTTTTAAAATTTTCTGTCCACTTTATTTTTGGCGTTCTTTCAGTCTTTTTAGCCTTTTTCCCTTCACTTCGGCTCTTAGTACCTTACGGATTTCGCTTTACCAAATCCCGCAAAAAGTTCCTAGCAAAACAAACAAGAATCGGCCCCGTATTCGCCAGCATGTCTGCTTTCCTGTTTCCTCTTACTGTAAAATTCCCCGGCACCCAGTACAACGTGAGCCGGTTGTCCTGACCCAACCGCTCAAAGTATCAACCGCTATCTAAAGATACGGGCAAACAGAGTTTGAAAAAAATTGTTTATTATTAATATTGTTCTGAGATCGGCCGTATTCGGGAAATTTTCGTGTTACTTAATTTCAATTGTCAAAATTAAATTTTTCAATTTTAAAATTGAGAATCAACTATCAGTTCCTACTTTCGACTCCTTGCAATTTTAGCTTTTTATTCATCTTTCCAAAAGAGAAACCAAAATTTTTCCACCATTTTAAAATAATTTTTAACAAATTTTTACTCTTTTTCCTTTTAGTTAACGACAACGTTCCCACAATATTGCCTATATTTTCATACTTTATTATTTATATACTTTTAAAAAGATTTTATATTCTACTTGACCACTTTTTATGTCATCAATTTTTAAGATTCTTCTTTTTTTATTGCATACTTTAAAGATATAAAAATGAAAAACAGAAATTTTTTTTTCTAAAAATATTTTTTTGCACTTCTTATCTTTTATAATATTTTTTTTTTTTCGTATATTTTTATAGGATAGCATATACGTTTTAGCTTCTGCTATTAGAGATATGTCAGCTGTTGAAACGATTACTGAGGCACCTAAAGATTGTGATGATTCCGGTGTCAATTGGGAGTCAGGTAAGATAATATAATATACGTGTACAATACATAAAAGAAAGAAAAGAAACAAAAAAAGGAAACTTTTAACCATATTTTCTATATAGTTTTTAATTTAAAAAGGAATCGAAAGAGAATACTTGTAGGTCGGTCTATTTATTTTTATCATTTATAAGAATTTTTATGTTTATATAATATATATATGTGTGCTTGTACACATATTATAATAAAATCATCGTATTATGAATTGATAGGCACTTTAAAAGTTAATATTTTGTTCCTCATTCTGTTTTTATTCTATACTTTTTGTCCTCATTTCTTGAAGTTTGTTTTTTTTTTTGAGTAATTTTTGTTTTCTCTTCTTATCATTATTTAAGTATTTTTTTTATATAATATTTTATCAAGAAAACAAAATGTTTATATGTATATATAAATATTTATATTAAAAAAATATATATAATTTTTTTTTAATATATTTTAAGGGCGAAAGCTTTTTCATTATTTGAAAATGATAAATGTAACCGGAGAAACTGGACAAGTGGGATTTGATGATAATGGTGATAGAATTTTTGCTGAATATGATGTTGTTAATGTAAGAGATCATCATAAACATAAAATTGTAGGATCTTTATATTATGATTCGGTAGGTTTGATTAATTTTTATATATGTATAACAAGCCAACACAAAATTTATATTGTATAGCATAAGAAATTAATGTATTAATTTAGTAAAGCTATAATTGTGCCTGATTTCAATTAGAAATAGGTACTGAACCCATTTTTAACAATATAAAGCAATTTCTTAATAGCCTATGATGTTTTGAAGTAGAAAAAATAAGTTGCAAACTCTGTTACGTTTACCGAATTTTTTATTTACGTATAGTTTGCCTATTGTATGAATCGCATCAAAAGCTTACATTTACACAACATTGAAGAGCTTCGAATGAGTAGAAAGTTTCTTAAAAATTTTGGTCAATAGCTAGAAGAATTGGCCATCTGCATATTCTTCATTCTCACTCGAAAAATATTTAAAAAAATTATTCACAAACATAGAGAACCTTTTGATTTTTTTCTCTTGTACTTAAATTTTAAATTTCAATAATATTGTTAGATATAGTTAACAAAATGTAATATTTAACAGAAACAAATGAAATATTCATATCCCGAGTTGATGAATAGTCCGCCTCCTATACTCAATTCTGATTATTAAAATCTGATCACAAAATTAATTAATAATGGCAGATTTTTATCTTTTTTCCCCCATTTCTCTCAAAAAATTATCAAAATTTATTTCTTCAATCATTTCAGATTTTTTGTACACCCATTTTTCTTATTTTATTCGATATACATTCATTTTTATTACATCCCTTTAAATTTATCTATCTACATACATATATATATATACATTATTATACATATAAAATATATCCTTTGGGTAATTTTTCAATTTGTATAAATTCGATTAGCTCGAAAAGACTATAAAGTTGAAGTACTTTAAATCTATCTTTTACTATCCTTATAATCATTTACAAAAATTGACTAAATTTTACAAACCTATATATATAAACACGCATAGAAACGACATTAATACATACATATAGTTAACATTCATAATAATTCACACACAATATAACAAATAAAAAATAATATTATTATTGTATAAAAAATAAACCAAAAAAAAAACAAAATTCTACATAAGTTTTGTTATGTAGGTACTTTCAAAAAACCAACAACAACAAAAAAAAACACTTTAAATTTTGTTTTTTTTTTTCTATTTCAATTGTTTTTTATGTGTTCTTATTTATTTATTTTTATTCCATACTCTTACTACTATGAGACAAGCATCCATTATCCTTAACAATAAAACCACTTTTTATTGTTTAAGAAGGCCCTTGAAGAGAAATTCAAATTATAAGAGAAATCAATCAAAAAAAAAACTTTTTTCTATTTCTTTTTTATTTCTTCTAATGCAAAAAACAAAAAAAAAATTGAAATTTTAACAAAATTCTAACTAAACATTCATGCAATACTTAATGTCCTTCTTATATTTGAGAAATAAAAAAACAAAAAAAAAAAAAAACAATTTAACTGTAATATTGAAAATTTTATACTTTATAAAAGGATATTTTACTCCTGTTATAGATAAGGCGTTTTTTTAAACAAAAATTCATATTTTCTTATTTTGTGAATTTTTTTTTTATTATTATGACTGGAAATTCAAATTGATAAATTGCCGTAATCAGTCAATTTTAAAGGTTTATTTTTCGTTTTTTTTTTTTTAATATTAAAAGAAGTTTTGGCCAGGGTTCTACCTTATTTTAAATTTTTTGGGATTTTTCCAAAGATTGGGAAATAATCCAATTTTGTATTAAGGAAATGTGGCATAAATTTTCTTTAATTAAAAATTATGGTGTTTTAGTTAGATCCAAATTAGAGACTACCAATTATTCAAACAAAATTTATTGGAAATCCTATAGTCCGGTGTTGCACTAATGTCCTATACTTCAAAATTTGAAAAAAAAACTAATTGTTTAAAGCCCGGTACGGGCACTTAAAATTTCTGAAATGGTGACAGACTCTAGATTTATAAAATCATTTGTGAAAAATAATCGATTTTTTTTTTTTTTGAATTCTCAAATTACAAGATCAGCAGTAATTCCTTTAAATTGTAAATCCATCAAGAATAGTGTGTAAATCTAGGCTTTTAAATTCGTTTTTCTACATTTCTAAATATAGGTTTTTCTATACATATGAAAGCTAAAAGAGCTACTTCTTCATATACTCGTAATGGAATATTTATCAAATAGTGTTCTTTAAGTTGTTTGCAAACGCAGGGAAATCTTACTATAGAATTCCAATTTTTAATTCAACTCAGAATACTTTAATATTCTGTGTTCTCTACTTAAATACTATTACCATTTCATATAGTATGAGGATTATGTAGTTCGTGTAGTAGTATGAGGATTATGTATAAGGATTCATGTAGTTTACTATTGAATAATCTACTCTATAGTTCCGCTTTATTAACAGGTAACAAAAATTACATTACCTATCATTTCTCGCCTATTTTCTCAAAAATTTCTTGTTTCCACTTATTCCTTAAAATTAATAACTACATAGATACAATCCTAAAAAAACTTCCCTTTAATTTACTAAATATAAAATATTAGGATATTATAATTCCTCGTATAATATCGTAAATAGAAAGGCCATTACCTTATAATATTTTCTTTTCACCTGGATTTATTATAGCCGCATATATTTAGGCGCATACATCTATTTAATAAATTTCAAATAAATTTGAATTCAACAATCCTTGAAAGATTTTTTTTCTTATTTATATAAAATATAAATTTAGATATATTGTAGGAAATACAATATATGTATAATAAATCTCATAAATATAATATACATATATACAGAAATAACATTATTACAGACATATAAATTTACTCTAAATTTCCTTATATTTTATTTATTAATACTATAAAAATTTTATTTAAATCATTTCAATTTATCTCGTACTTTTTTTTTTTATAATAATATTTATTTTCCGATATGGATTTATGTATATAAATATAAATATAAAGTCGAAACAGAAAATGCGTCTAAAAATTAATGAAAGTGAAATTTTATGGCCTGGAAAAGAAAGAAAGAAACCTGAAGGTATTATAATTCCAACACATTTAAAGGTGCTAACAATTGAAGAGAAACCATTCGTTTATGTTCGACGTTTAATATTTGAGGAGGAAAGATGTGATGAAGATGAAATACCATGTCCTTTATTTAATACAACAGATAGAGCAGGTAAGTCATAAAAATTTTTTTATTTTTTCGGAATTTAATTTTTATATTACTAAATAATTTTATATAAACATAAAATATATAAGGTAACATAATTAGTATAAGGATTTCAAAATTTTTATATAATGCAATAAGAAAAATCCATTCGGATATAATAAATCTATATATAGTTAACAAAAACTTTATATTTTAATAAAAATTCCTTCCTATACATATACATCTCTACTTCATATAATATAAAATTTCCTTCATTAATAATATTAATTGCCAGAAATTTTGTTGGGCAATAATATTAAAAATTCATTTTATAAAACGATTATGGTAAATAATTATTTATTCAGGTATAAAAATATTTTCATCAATTCAAATATTTGGAGAATTCTGTGATACATTATAATATATTTAATACAGTTGGACCTAGATATTTTTAACGGACATGGAAGCGAAATTTTTTGTTTCTCGAGCTATTTATCGAATTTTGTCGGTGCTTTTTCGAATAATTTTCTTTTGTGGAAGAAATGCCATACGAACTCTCAAAACACTTAAAAAAAATAAAAATTCGAAAAGCAAATTCAATTCTGCAATTCATAATAACAATTCGATTGAAATATTTTTCTTAATTAAACAGACGTCTTTAAACTTTATAAGTCTTGCTCGAAAATTTCATAGTACCAAATGAAGTTTTAGTTTTGAAAAGATTGTTTACTTTTCTACAGACCATTCCGAATTTGTGTAACCTGTGCAAACTATTCCGGAACTAAGAAAAATTCCAATGCTACAGTTCCTTGAAGCTCTTTTCAATAAATAATCTCCCTCATATATGTACCTTTTTTCCAGATTCAACTGTCTTTACTCTTTGTAAAGAATGAAGTGTTATTAAAGTATACAAATCAAAAGGCAAAAAATATTAAATTACCTTGAAGAAATTTTTACGTTTTTCAGAATTTTGCAATTAAACAACCAAAATTTAATAAATTTTTCTTAGCTTTCAAAGTACAAAACTATTTTATTACTACAATTAAATATTTATGCAATATTAAAATGATAGGTTCGCGTTATCTCTAGTTAAAAATTCAAAATTTAAATTTGACCTATAAAGGCTAAAGGAAATATTGTTGCATAAATTAAGTGTGATGGCAAAATCCAAATTAAAATAAATCTACTATAATAAAATAAAATTTTGTATATACAAATAATATTTGGAGAATCATAAAAAAAAGAAAAATATTTAAATTATCTTTCATAGTTCTATTGTAAAAGGACTTCAAAGAAATCGAAAAATTTTCATTTTAATAAATTATATAGAGAGAGGTATAAGAAAATGTAATTGTATAATTCAAGGATTCCTTCCTTTCCTATTTATACATATAACTTACTTGTATCATTCTTGTTTTCTCAATAACGCCTTTCATTGTATAAAGGAAAGATTTACAAATATTTAAAATAGTTTTTATATAATAAAGAAAATGAAAATATTAAAACAATAATAATAAAAATTTATTTTTTTAAAATAACTCAAATATTGGTAGAAGAAAAATGTATTTATGTATGTATTATAACGAATAAAGGAAGGGTAAATTATCCAAACAAAATACAAACAAGGATAAGATTTCGGAATGAGGAGGATATTTTTTTTTCAATTTTATTATGGAAATAAATTTTTTCTCTTATAATATTTTCTTCTATTGAAAGAATTTTGAATTTGTAAAGGTTAAAAAAATATTAAAAATATTTGTGATATTTAATATCCTTAAGGATAAGGTAAATTTTCAATATTAAAATGAGTAAATTTTATACAAGACAAAAAAAAAGAGGGAAAAACCTTAAGCTTTAATAAAGTACAAGTTTTTATATTAAAAAAGTTTTTGATGAAAATTTCCGACTTTTTCTATATATAAACTTATAAAACAGACTATTTTTTTCTTGATTCAAGAACACCTCCTTATATTTTCATAAAATCTTTTTTTCTTACTGTCGGCTTCCTTATCTATTGCCTTAAAATTAAATCGTGTAGTAAAACTCTAAATTTACCCAATATTTCCTGTATTTTTTTTTAAATCCCTTGAACAATTTCTTACTAAAATATTTGAATTGAGTTGAATAATTAAGAGTGTAACTATATCAAACCTGTTAATTTTGATTTTGTAAAATCTATATACGTATAATTACATATTTATTATGAAAATTGGACAAATGATTAAATATTCAATTCGTCTCTCAAACTGATGCATTTCGAGTTCAAATCTAGGTCGAATATTTATAAAATATATCCCCGGTACTATTTCTCTTCTATTTCGAGCGAGAGCAACACACTTTTAAAGAAGTTGTAATGAGGTTTCTTTAGTTATGAACATCCCTTAACCTTACGACCCACAGCACTCTTGTAGCCAACATGTTGAACATCCATAGAGAGGTGGTGTAATCCATGCTCCCACTCTCCAATACCCCCGTAATCGCCATATGTGAAGTGTTTCTCGAAAGCCTTCTCGATATTCAAGAACTCATATAACATAGCTACCTCCTTCTGTTCTATTAGGCGAACATGGTGGTCCCTGTCGACCTTTCTGCTGAATATGCATGCTAACAATAGCTAAGCGGTCTCCTTAAGAGCACCGCAGTCAGATATAATTGTTAATTATCTTCTTCATCGTCTTCACTTAAAATGACATGAGGCTAATCAATTTGAATGACTTGGGCACCATGTGCCTTCTTCTCATTTTAGTGGTAAAGACCACCCTAGTCCCGTGCCAAGACTCAAAGGTATATCTGAGAACCAAGCTGCTCCTGAATATTCTTATTAAGAAAAGTATAATTTGCTCCATCTCCTTGAAAGGCTGAAAAATGGAATAAATGTGAATATTAACCGCATAAATTAATTTAATTAACTCTTATGTTTAAAATTTTATTTTTAATTTTTCAACGAATCAAAAATTCACTAATTAATTGATGCGTTTTATAAAATAATCATAATATATTAAATATAAATTATTAAATTAATTTGATTAATTTGAAAAAATTAATTAATATTATTTAAATTGCATGGTACAAAAAAAAAACGTAATAATTTTTATTTATAATAATAAATCATAATTTTCCTTGAAATAATTATAAAATATTTTATAATGAATAGGAGTCGCAAAATTGGCATTACCACACAATTGCAATAACCACACAATAAAACAAAACAATTTGCAAAAAAATTTATGTAAATTGTTGGTATGATGATCATTGGCCAAAAAATTTTCGACAATTAAAAATTTGAATAATTTTAAAAAATTTAAATGATTTAATAAAAACAAACATTTAGTGTCTGAGATTTAAATTATTTCAATAGCAGTTTCTTCCTTACAATTTTCAAATTAAATCTCAATTTTTATTTCGGTACATGGATATGAAATTTATTCAGTTTTAATTAATTTTATAGCAATTAAAAAATTTATCACAAATCGTCAAACTATTTAATATATTAAACCGGTTTATTACGTAATTTCGCTGGTAAATACAAGTTGACTCCACATTGAAGAGTCTCTATCTGCAATTTTGAAAAATTTTCTATTAAAACAGGTTGTAGAGATGATCCCAGCTGACTGATTTGTTAAAATTCACAATTACAGTCCGAGTATTTAATTTCAATTATATTTCTACAATAATTATTTTTTGAAAGCCATGCATTGACTCAAAAATTAAATTTTTCTATAACTCACCTTTTTTAAAAAATGGCTTATTACTCGGTAATAACCCTCCGATTTCATGTGTACAATCCTCAATATAACCCTTATATTTATATTAATCAATTATTATACAATTTTTGAATATTAAAAAAAAGTAATAAAAAATATATATTATTATAATTTTAATCAATTAATATTAAAAAACCAATATATTTTTCCTTTTAATATTTTTAGTTTCTGAATTTTGTTGTAAAGGATATTGTATACATTTACTAAGAGCATTAGCACATCGTATTAATTTTACCTATGAATTAGGTTTATCACCAGATGGTCAATTTGGTCATTATGTATTAAAAAATCAAACTGGTACGATGACAGTTAAAAAAGAATGGTCCGGTCTTATTGGTGAATTAGTAAATGAACGTGCTGATATGATTGTTGCACCATTAACAATTAATCCAGAACGTGCTGAATTTATTGAATTTTCAAAACCATTTAAATATCAGGGCATCACAATATTAGAAAAGAAACCATCAAGATCAAGTACATTGGTATCATTCTTACAACCATTTAGTAATACACTTTGGATATTAGTTATGGTATCAGTACATGTTGTTGCATTAGTGCTTTATTTATTAGATAGGTAAGTGAAAAAAAAAATTTGGAAAAATGACAAAATAAGCAATTCAATAATATTTATAAACGTATTAAAAAACATTTTATTTTTTTAATTAATTTAGAAATAAATTTAAAACTCATTATGGTGTAAAAGTCATTAGTGTCATCCATATGATTTTGACATAAGCCTATTATTTACGTATAAATTGTTTTTGTCAAAAAAATTTTATAAATAATTATTTTGTATAAAAACAAAATTAATTTTACATGATATTTTTGCATACCTAATTAAAAGAGTGTAATTAAATATTAAAATTTATTTTTTTAAACTCATAAAATACAAAATATATCTAGTTATTTAAAAAATATAGATATGTGTACCTTTATACCATTGGAAAATAAACATTGAGTTTATTTAAATTGAAAAATTAATTTTGAAATTAATTAGTTGCGGTATTTAAATAAAGTACAATATTTTGCCCATCAAAACAAAAAAATATTACCAAATAATATAAATTTATTTTTAATTACATAAAAGAATTTTTATTGAAGGGGATTATAACAAAGCTGATGAACTGTGTGCTTACACTAAAACAACAAATGCACACAACTAAAATTAAAATTTTACAAATAAATAAAATAATTTCGCACTCAATATAATAAAAAATAAAATGAAACATTTTGATATTACCACATGTGCTAGATTACAGAAAAAGTTTAATGAAAACTCAATCTCTGCTCTATTAATATTAAACAAATAAATTTAAAATACTCTTATATTAAAAATTAATATATTCGTCCTTTTAATCCTTTAAAATACTCGTATATAAATTATCTAGAATTTGAATTTTACTTTTAATCCTAAATCAACTTAGTTTTCATTTATTTATACGAGCAAAGCATTCGAATAAAATGTGTCTATCTGGAACGCGAAAAATAAGACAAACTGCTTAAAGAATTCTTTTTGAACTTTAAAATGATTTAATTTGCAAATTTATTTGTGCGTAATTTTTGAAGAATTTTTAATATTTAGAAGAAGGCTAACAGCTTTAATTTGAAATTTTAAAGTATTTTGTTTAAAGTTATATAAGATCCACGTGTGTGCTACACATATAGTTGTAGTATTTCTTGCCATATATTTTTAATGCTTTCAATAATAATCAAACATTGTTAATTTCAAATAAAAAAAAAAAGAAAATGTTTTCATATGGAAATTTTTTTCCCAAAACAAAATTAATTTTTTTTTTATTACTAAAATTTCCATAGATATACTTTATCCCAAATCAACGTCACCTACAATAAACTTCGATAAAATATTTATGCTCACATATATATGTACATTGAAAGGTTATGGAGAAACCCACAAATCCTTAAAGCAAAAACCAAAAAAAAACAAAAGAGAAAAAAAAGGAGAAATCTTTAATAATTTTTATTGAAAATTATTTTTGTTCTTGAAAATCAATTCTGTTTAATTTTATTATTTTCCCGAGAAAGATTCGGGGAATCTGATTTCTTTGAAATTTCTTTGGATTTTAAAAGTTTTCATATAATATACCAGATTAACGCATGGAATTGACTATATTAGCCGTTTTTTAAAATCTATCTGATATAAAAAAAGAAAAATATACTTGATCCAAAGCTATTGAACATAAGTTGTGACAAAACCAATGACTTTCACGAGCAAATAAACGCCATATAAAAAAAAAATATACAAAATAAACTGATAGTCTAAAATTACAATTGCCATTCTGCCATTCTCCAAATAGGTTAGGTTAACTTAGGTTAACGCAACCCCCAGAAGGGTACTCTTTTAGGTCCGTTATGGTATAGGCGCATCTACCCTTTTGATAGACAGAAGGTTGAAGCGTAACTCCAACTCCTTCCACGAATAAAACGCAATAGTTGCTTTTCTACTCTTCTCATTGTGTTAGACTTCCAGTTCAGATTTCAATTAAGGCCCAGAAACCTAACCATAGTGCTAAAGAACCCACCTAACTGTAGGTGGATTCCGTTGAGTTTCGGCGGAGTTTTGCTTGACACCTTATATCTCCTTCTAAAAGTGACTAGTTCTGTCTTTTAAGGGTTGACAGTTAGCTCACAGGAAGCAGCACAGTCAGAAACGAGGTTAAGGTGTTGAGGTACTTCCCAGATACGTTAGCGGCCTAGTCATCAGCGTAGACTCCTCTCCATGAGTTTTAATAACTGACTAATTACCAGGTTTTAAAGAAGAGGACAAGCAACTCCTACTTGCTGGATGCCTCTTCCGACAGATGGCTCAATGCAAGAACCGCCAAAGCTAGCTGATATATCCCTGTTTGACAGAGTTTAAATTTTCTATACAGTATATCAAGGAGTGTAGGGGGTTTTCCGTTGACCTAACCTCCCGATACGCATGCTATACTGGAGTTAAAATGGCTCCTTAGCTTTAGTAGAAACAAAGTTATACTGATAGGTCTTAAATCCTTTGGACAGCTAGGAAAGCTTCTTTTAACACATTTTGTTTAAGTAGCTATTAAGCTTTGGCTGGAAAATTACGTAATGTAGTTACTCTTTTTTGTTTTGCTTTTTGTTCTTCTTTTTGCCAAGTTCATGATTTTAAATTTAAGCAAGTAGATCAATTCCAATTTTTTGTAATCAAAATTTTTTTATTTTTTTTTGTAAATAAATAAATTTCAATTTCATCCATAAATCTAAAAATGATTTTTGATTTTATAAAAACAATTTTTTTTCCAAAATATAAGCAAAATGATTTTTTTTTTCTACAAGTACATAATCTTTAAACATAACTTTAGCCTCACATTCTCAAATATTTTTTTGTTTCCGCTTATCATTTTCAATTTATAGTGATACATTAGATTTAGTACGAGAAATTTATGTGTAAAACGAATGATTTTTTTTTACTTTTATTAACATCCTTACATTATGTAAGTTATATACCACAACCTTACAAAATCCTGTATTGAAAAAAAATCTTGAATCTTAAAAAATGATTATTAAAAATTGAATGCGAGAAATAATACAAAATTTTTTTATTTTTTATACGCCCAAAGTTATGTAAAAAAAATTCAATATCTTACCTTGAATTTATAATAAATACATACTTAACTTCCATATTTTATATATGTATGTGATTGTATACCCATACTTAACGTATGTACAAAATTTGTCAATAAAATGAATGTTGTTTTACATAAAATTATACAGATTTAAGATAAAACTTAAATTTCCGCGATATTTTTTTCTTCAATCTACGACAACTACACAATTTCCTTATGTTAAATATATAACTTTTTAAAGGATATTTTCTTCATTATTTTGTATGAAAAAATTTCTCAAATAAGCTCAAAAACATTATTTGCTTCTCTTTTCTCTATTTAAATGCAATTATTATTTTTGAAAATCTTAAAAATTTCATGTAAATTTATAAAACGTTTAAGAAAGAAAAACGGTAAGGTGAAAGAATTTATCGAAATTTTTATACGCGTTCTATGACAAAAAAGTACGTAGACTGCAACGTACTTGAGACGTACTAGAGACTCTATCAGTATTTTTGCAGAATAGTGGCCCAAATTCGGGAGTACCCAAACGACTTTACTTAAAATTTAAATACAAACTGTGGCGTTTCATACGGTGCTATTTACAGTGCTATTATTTTTGAAGTGATACAGCAGCTCCAACTCATAAGATTTGAATTTAATAAAAAACCATACTATTAAAGCGGGAATAAATTTCTAATATGTGATACTGATATTCTATAAATACGATAAAATCACCCACTCTGTATCCTTCTTCAAAAACCAGAAAGAATATATATATACAATTACTATAATAATTACTAATTAAAATTGAAAAAAAAAATACAAACACTTTTCGTGTAAAAATAATTTAGGATATCCTTTACACGAAATAGGACTCTTTTATTGTTATTTTGATTATTATTGTTATTGTTATATAATTTCCTAAATTATTATAATTTAATATTTTTTCTCCACAAATTTTCTTTCGCACTTCTTTAATTAAAAAATATTCTCTTGTGTTGTTTTTTTTTGTCAGATTTTCACCTTTTGGTAGATTTAAAGTAGCCAGCAATGATAATACTGAAGAAGATGCTCTTAATTTAAGTTCAGCAATATGGTTTGCATGGGGTGTTCTATTAAATAGTGGTATAGGTGAAGGTACACCAAGAAGTTTTTCAGCTCGTGTACTTGGTATGGTATGGGCTGGTTTTGCTATGATTATAGTTGCTTCATACACTGCCAATTTGGCTGCGTTCCTCGTCTTAGAACGTCCAAAAACAAAATTAAGTGGAATTAATGATGCACGTTTACGTAATACAATGGAAAATTTAACATGTGCAACTGTTAAAGGTTCAGCTGTAGATATGTATTTTAGACGTCAAGTAGAATTATCAAATATGTATAGAACAATGGAAGCAAATAATTATGCAACAGCTGAAGAAGCAATACAAGATGTTAAAAATGGGTAAAATAAAAATTCTAATAGAAAAAGAAAAAAACAATTTAGATTAAAGGAATACCAAATCGTTATCTTTTTCATTGTTACCCAAAAATACCTATAATATTTTATGTTTTTAGATATTTTCAGAATATTAAACAATAAAATGATGAAAAAAAAATATTAAAATAACAATAACAAAATTAAAATATAAAGAGAAAACCTTGGAAAAGATAACAATTAATAGCAATATTTTATTTCATATAGACACCTATATAAAATGTATAATATTACATAATTATATTAAACATAAAAATATATTATAATATGAACACACAGACAAGGTTTTCCAATATGGTTTTTAAATCAAATTAAAGTAGCAATTCTTTGCTCAATCGGACCTCATCATTTAATATCACTTTATACTAAAACAAAGTAATTTAACAGATTTCTCTTCCTCTTTATACTGTCAATTAAGCGTATTTATTTTTCAGTAAATTTTAATAATTTTGCAAACGCTTACTTAATTATTTAAATCTCGCAATTAATAGATATTCATTGTTTGCCTGTCGAAAATTTTTCACTATATAAAACTCAAATCACTTTTGAAATGAAGATAGAATTTGGCATTTTGCTCCCTTCTGCAACCGCGTCTAACCAAAAATTTAATGTAAAATTTAAAATAACGCGACTAATCAAAATAAATCAAACATACTATTGACTTTTTAGTATAATTTCTTTCGTCGTATAAATTATTTGTTGAACTCATAAAAAATTTTTAATTATTAAAATTGTTATTAGTCCCAATTCTTATTCTCTCTTCAGTATTATATAAAAATAATTTTTATTAAAGATATTACAAAAAAATAAGAGCGCTATATTATTCGAATCGTGCCCTCAAACGCTTTTAAACCGATTGCCTTTATCTATTTGTAACAGTGCAATCTTATTTTGGTTTCGAACATAAAATCTATTGAAGAACACTTCACATATTTTGATATACATATGTATGCATAAGAATAAAATTCTATTTAACACACATATTATAATATATATATATATATATATATATATATATATATATAATTAAAACAAAAGGATCACATTATTATCTTTATAATATCCTTACAAAGGTTATATTAAAAGTTAAATATTAAATATACATATATGAAAATTTACATTACAAAATACAATATTTATGTATATATAATATTTGAATTGAATATATGTTTATGTACAAATGATGTCCGTAATGAACGTATATTAATCTATTGTACTCCTTTTTATCTTTTCTACATATTTTAATAGGAAATTATTAGCATTTATTTGGGACTCATCCCGATTAGAATATGAGGCAGCAAAAGATTGTGAATTAGTTACAGCTGGTGAACTATTTGGTAGAAGTGGTTATGGTATTGGTTTACAAAAAGGTTCACCATGGTCAGATGCTGTTACATTAGCAATATTAGATTTTCATGAAAGTAAGTACACATTTGTTTGTTTTTTTTTTTAACTTTATTTATACTTTATGTTTAACATACCAAATTTTCAATATATGCACATATATACATTTTGTATATATAATATACAAATTAAAATTCTTATATGTTTAACTGTACATTTATAAAAATAAATATTTATATTAAAAATTTTTATATTTAATTCTTATTCACTCTTTTATTTTTCTCTGGAACAAAACAATAAAAAAATGCACAAAAAATAACAAAAAACAAAATGAAAAAAATAAAATAAAAAAAAAACAAAAGGTGGTTTCATGGAATCTTTAGATAAAGAATGGATATTCCATGGTAATGTTCAACAATGTGAACAATTTGAAAAAACACCAAATACATTAGGACTAAAAAATATGGCCGGTGTATTTATATTAGTTGCAGCCGGAATTGTTGGTGGAATTGGTTTAATTATAATTGAAGTTGTATATAAAAAGCATCAAATTAAAAAACAGAAAAGAATGGAAATTGCTAGACATGCTGCTGATAAATGGAGGGGTACAATTGAGGTAAATATATAAGAGAGGATTTATAAAAAGGAAATAGAAAAAAAAATTCAAAAAGGGATTTTTTTTTTGCATATTTTATGCACTGTTTATTGGGATTATTGTGCATAATATAAAAAATTGGGAACAGATAACCTTCGATATGTGAAAATTAATTATAATACTGTAAATAATTGTTAGTTTTAGTTTGTTGGTTTTATTTCAACACAAAAATTAATTTCCGTTAAAAAAAAATAAGCATTCTTTAAATATTGATTTTCTCTTGGTATTGAAAATTGTTTTCTATATAAAAAGGTAAAACTAATCGATATTATAACACTTATGTATTAGACGTCAAAATTAATAGCACTTATTGTATACAAAAACTTCCATGCTTTTTTTCAGAAAAGCTACTTTTTCTTAGCGAACACTTCTTCAAATCAAATTTGTCCTAACATTCAAAACGTAGAAGAAATAGGAAATAGATAAACTGATAAAATCCAATTTAAAAATTGAAATTTTAATTGAAATTAAATATAAATCAGATTCTCTTTTAATCAATACCTTGATCTATAATTAATCACTTGTATTGACCATGAGCATTCTAAAAGAGCGAAAAATGCAATCTTTAGAAATTTATATAATACACTTGGAGGTTAACATAAGACTGAAAGCTCTTAAGCATACAACATAATTTACCGTAATTCTTAGTACCAACCTAATATGGCAGTATAGCATATCAAATATACGCACTTATCTTTTGTACTTTACCATCTCCTTTTAAGTATTTTGCTACCGAAAGTTAAAAATTTTAAAACAAAAATTCAGGATATAAAGGAAATACAAGAAATTCAACTTACATAAACCAATAAATATTTACAGTATTATAATATTGCGTACTCTACAAAAAGAACTGTCAGTAATATATGCTAGTCATGTCCAGCATTTGCATTTTTTTAATTAAAATTCTTTTCCAAAAAACAAAAAAAAAATATCAATAATTGAAACGAAAAAGAAAAATATGTATTCGTCCTTAACAAGAGTATATATATACAGTACAAAACATAATGTACATAAAAGTATATAAAATACAACTGAAACTTCACTGAAATTGAACATATGACATTGGAATATTATTCTATATAGCAATTCTAAAACCATAAATATGGTAAAAACAAAATATATAAACACGATATATTTATACCATAAGTATGTATTATAATAAATGGGAACTTATCTTAAAATCCATCATTATAATTAAGATTTGCTATCTTTAAAAGATTTCACCGGTACAAATATTAATATTTAAAAAAATTATTATATAGTGTTGTAAAATTGCAGTTTAATAACACCATCATTGAAACTCTTAAAATAATCGAAAACATGCTGTACATATTGTGGGTAATAAACATTTTAAGCACATTTAGCACCTAAAAATAGTGACTACTGTAGCTGCCAAATAATTATTTCTACAAAAAAGCAGTGTGCCTTGAAAATCTACTATTTAGATTTTATTAAAAATTCATAATGGTTATAATCAAGAGGATGAAATCCAGCTTTAAATTCTTCACTAATTTAGTTTTATTATTGAAAGTATAAGCAATAATAATAATTAATAACAAGAAAGTTGCTGATTGTCCTGACATCTACCTGAATTTTTTCATAAACTTATTAATAAATTCATAATATACATTTTCTAATTATTATTTTCATTTTTATTTATTTATTTTTTTTTGTTCATTCAATTTTAATTTAGAAACGAAAAACTTTACGTGCATCATTGGCAATGCAACGCCAGTATAATGTTGGCTTAAATTCAAACCCTGGTACAATTAGTTTAGCTGTTGATAAAAATCGTTTTCCTCGTTTAGGACCAAGAGGACCAGAACGTGCATGGCCTGGCGATTCTGATTTGTTACGTAATCGTGGCCGTTTACTAGATGACAGTAAAAATATTAGCAATAAAAAATCATCACATCAACAGTCACATTTATTAGCACCACCGAGATATTCACCAGGCTATACAAGTGATGTATCGCATTTAGTTGTTTAACAAATTTTTAAAAATATTTCTTTATTTATTAAGAAAACAATAACTAAAATTAGGTTTTTTACGAAATTTATTTTTTTATAAACAAAAACAAAAAAAAAAACAAAAATGAAACAAAAGAATTTTTTTATTTGTTATTTTAAATGTTAAAATAAAATGAAAACCAAAAAAAAAACAAAAAAACAAAATTAATAACAAACAAAACAAGTACTTAAGTAAAAATGTATTTAATGAAATTTAATAAAAAAAAATTAATATTAAAAATTAACACACAAAGAAAAAAGATTTTTTATGTATAAATTATAACCTTAAAAAATATTTCGCAATTTAAAAACACACAAAATTAAAAAAAACTATAAACAAAAAATGGAATGTAAAATGTATGGAAAAATTGTTATTTCTTTTTTTCGTTATTTATTGCATATTTTTGCCTTTTATTTAGGATTTTCATATATGCATATAATTTGAAATATTTTATTTTTATTGAAAATTAAAAATTATAAAACTTTTGACATTTTAATATAAAGGGAAGTGCAATAGCAAGAAAAAAGTTAATTTCTCTATTCAAACTATCTATAAAACAAGGAAAAGCCATTGATTTTATAAATCGCAACATTTCCTAATTTCTATCCAATAAAATTAAAAATCTGGACAAAATACAAAACCCCTAACCGCTAACCCCTAACAATGGCAACTCATACAAGAAAAAAAGTAGTTAAATAAAAAATTACTTAACATTTATTCCGGTAGATGGCTTCAAAGTTTTATGTAACAATATTTATATGGCAGGTTTTATTCCTAAATAACATAGGAGATTACCATAAGAAAAACGACCTGCATACAAACTATTCCGGATATTATTTGAATAACCTATATAAAAACGAAGAATCCAAAAAATTTCAGTATTTTCTGTTGTTAATTCACTAATGCATACCATCAGAGCATTTGCTGTCAGAAGATGTTTATTGTTTACCTCTCGAAAAAATTAGATTTTTTTTTCACACACTCAAAGTTGACACCTGACGCAAAATACTAGTGCAAATTTTAACTGTCTCTAGAACTGTCTTTAGAGCTTCTGCAGTGGCTTTTGCAGTGCTGTTAAGAATAAAAATGTACAAAAGCCTATTCACAAATGTATTATATACATATATAAGTATATGAAAATGTCGAAAATAATAAAGGAACAGAATCAGTGGCGGAAACCTAAATCAAACTCAAAAATAACTGATTGATGGCATGTTTCTAAATCGTTTAAGAACAAAGTGATTATTAACCTGTACATAATATAACAATAAAAAATATTCAAAATAAATTATTGTTTTAGAAGTTTTTAATGTTCTATCCAAAAAAAACATAAAACGTCATTTACATTTATACTCAAAAACATGTAAAAAACAAACATTCTTTAACTTACATAAGCTAATATTGGAAAAGATACAAAATGGTTGTAATTCTGTTTTCATTAAAACAAAAAAGTAAAAAAAAACTCATTGAAAACCTTCATTAGAGAAAGACGATATTTAAAAAAATTATTAATGAATATTATTTATGTATTTATTATATATAAATATGAACGTGTTCGTGAACCTCGACTCCGATTTAAAAATCAAAGAAAAAACAAAAAAAAACACAAAAAAAAATACCAAAAAAATATGTATGTATGTTTTATTTTATTTTTTTCAGAAAACAAATTTTTAAGGTATTAAGATAAAATAAACTTTATAACTAACATGCATATATATATATATATATATATATATAAATTATATATATTATATATATTTTATTCATTTCTTAAATTTAATATTCTAATTTACATTATGCTATATATAAAATCAATATCTGTGTCTAATTGTACACATTTTGTTGTAACGTATTTGCAAAAGTGTTCAAACACGACTATGTAAAGTTAACAATAACTTTAGTGTGAAAATTAGTTATTGTAGATTTTGGCAATGTATATGACATGGAGGCACACTTCAAAATTGCCATAATACTTAATTATATAGTAATATATTTTCAATGTAATTTTAATTTTTTTTTTTAAGTAATTCAGTAAAATCATATAAAGCAATAGAAAGTACTTATACCACCGTATTTCAGCTATATCTCATTTAAACAGAAAAGTTTGATATGACCAAAAATGTTGACTCATCATTCAATTACGTATAATAATTTTAGCTTAATAAACTCACGAAACTAAATAATATTTTAATTTTCAAAAGTCAAAAAAATTTAATATGGAACATTCAAAAATAAATTTTCATAGGCTCATATATTTTGTAAAAAATTTTTTACAAAAAATATTTGTATAAGTGACTAACTAGCATGTTGTATTTAATAATTTTTATTTATTATTTATTTTAGTATTGCACTTACATTTTGTTAGAAGAGAAACTCATAAAATCAAACATGTTGTTAATCAAACATGTTGTTAATCAAACTGTTGAACATAATAATTCACCAAACGTATATGTTGTCAATGTTCTTTAGTTTACTGTAGTCCTCTCAGTTATTATTTTGTAGTAAGTGAGAATATTTATACATATTTATGTATTAAAATTTATAATAATAAAAATATTTATTTTAGCATATTTTTAAACGCATACCCACTGATTATGATATTATTCATTTCATTGTAACATAAAAAACTACATCAATTATGGGTAAAATTTTAAATTAACTTAAATGTAATGAGACCAACCATATACAGTATTTTGTGACCACCGTTTTTAAAATTTTGATTTTCACTAAATTTTTATTAATTTATGAATCCATACTAAAGTTATTCAAGTACAGAGGGCGGTAATTACAACATCTACGAAAAATGATTAGATCACAAACATGATTAGCATAACGCAAATTAGATAAATAAAAAAAAACCAAAAAAAAAAAAATTTAATTACAAAAATCTCTTATAATTGTGAAATTTTTACTTTAAAAATATTAATAAATGCATATAAAAAAGTAAAAGAACATCAAAAAAGGCTGTAAAAATTAATTTCAAAAACAAAAAACAAGATTTAAAAAAAAAGTTTAAAAAAAAAAACTTACATAATATGAAAATATTAAATTATAAATTAATTATTCATCCTAATTTTTTAAGTCGTTTAATTTTTAAACGAAATTTGTAAATATGTAAAATATATAAAAAAGAAAACCAAAAAGCAAAAAAAAAACGTTCAGAAAAAGAACCACTCATTAAATTTATAGTAGAATTCTTATTAAAAACAAAAATATAATTGTAATAATTAAAAAATAATACAAAACCAAAAAAGAAAATTTTTAAAATAAGGAAAAAGAAAAATACAAAAAAAAACATAATTAAATAAATTAAAAAACAAAAAAAAAACATGTAATTTTTCTAAACAATTAGGATTATTAAAAAAAAATATTAATAATTACATAAATATTATTATACTTGTATGTATAACAAATAAAAAACAAACCAAAAATAATAAAATTTATTAAAATAGAAAGAAAATATCACAAACAATTTATTAGATGAAAAATAAAAAATATTATAAAAAATTCATAAAAAAAATAATGAAAATGTATAGAAAAGAAAAACTCATAAGTAATCGTAAAAAAAAACAACCTTAAACAAAAAATTTTTAAAATAATATTTTTAAAGTACTTAAAAAATAAGGTTAAATAAACCAAAAATTTAAATATTAAAAAAAAAAGATTGTTAAGAATATTTTTTTTATTAAATCCTTAAGCACATTTTGTTTCCCTATGTTTCCTCCTCAGATCAAATATAAGTAAAAATATTTCTCAAATAATTAATTTTATATATAAATTGAAACTGAGTCAAACCACCTGACCGCTGAATCTAGAATTCGAAGATATGATTTTGATATTATTAGCCGATCTTGTGAGTGTATTATGTGTGAGCGTTGTTATGTATACCTGTACTATTAATTTATATTTTATTATTCAGTTTAATGAAAGAATTTTGTGTTCCTGTCAAACAATTTTTTGAATAAATTTTTTTTTTTTGACGTTCTTGAATGATACCTAAATAGTTCTTTTAAGTCTTTGATTTGTAATTTTTGTAATATGGAAATATCCTCCTTATATACATCACCCCATATATGTATTGCATATATCACAGAACCATGAAGCATGATGGAATGTACCGATTTCTTCATTTGGATGATTATATTTACGTATTCTTTTGTAAATAAACCCCAGATATTTATAACTTCCCATTATTGGTTTAATTAAATTTTGCATTTATTTCAACTTCTTTATTTCTAAATATTGCACATTTGGTCCTTTTCGTGTAAACTATAGCTTTTGTGTTTACTCATCCAAATACCAAACATATTGATGTTCATACTAGGTTCCAAATAGTGATTAGATCACGCTGCGCTGAAAGTTCTATATTAGAACTAAAATTTCCAAGTCCCAGCGTTAAACAGTATTCAAAAAGATTGTCTATGAAATTGTATCCCAATACTTTTCGCCTGCTTCCAATTCATTGCAAAATAAGGAAATTTTAACAAGATTTGAAAACTTAAAGAAACTTACAAGACTAAACAAACGGCCATCGTGCTTGAGTTTTCCTGAAAGCCATCCGGTTCCTTGTTTATGGGAGTAACAGGAGCATGCCACGACTTTCGAATACGCTTCTTTTATAGTAAATATTTATCGAACATGCTATATATCTGATAATTTTACCGTTTTGATTTATCGAACATGCTTCATATTAGTCAGAATCAAATATTCGTATACCCCATTATTTTATTTAAACTAAATTTTAAAATTAAATTTAAAAATTAATTTTAAATATTTAATTATATTTAATTTATACACTTCTCATTTACCTTCGTTATTTTATCAAAAATTTTTCTTGTAATATTCTTCTTTTCTTGTGATATTCTTAATAATCATATTTAAAATAAAAAAACTCAAATAAATTGAACAGAAACATTAATAAAACATTAATTTAAATACAAAATAGTTTTAAAAACTTTATTACAATATAAAAGAGTAACAATGTTTCGAAATTAAACAAACAAAAATTGATTATTAAACAAAAACAAAATGACATACATATTTTTGTAAAATATATTATTACACACTTACATACATAGTATTCAATTAAAATAAAAATTAACAAAAATTAGAAATTATAAATTGAAAACAAAAAATGTAATAAAAAAAATTTAACATTAAAAAAGGTTTTTAAATTATAAATTTGTAAAAAAAAATAAAAAAAAAAATTACAAAAGAAAGAGGAAATTATTTTATATTAATAATTTTTATATAGAAAAACCAAAAAAAAAAACAACAACAAATTGCCTACATTAATTTAATTTGAAAATTTTAAAGCAACAAAAATATTTTAATTTCATCTATATATACATTTATATATACGCATACATAAAATTAATATTAAAAATCTATTCAAATCTCTTACATTGTTAAATTATTTTTGCTCTTCCAAGGAATATTTTATGGCTATAAAAAATGTAAAAATTAATAACTAACATGATGATTGTTATTTATAATGGTAAATACAGAAAAATAAGTTTAACAAAAAAATATATTATGAATTCATTATAATGATTGAATTTTTAAAATTTGAACATTATTACATTATTAAATATAAATATGTAATAAAACTTTTTAATTAAGTTAAGTTTTCAATTTTAAAAATATTAATGTTAACAATTTCTTAAAGAAATAATTTGTTAATACGCCAAAATATAATGCGATTCCCCAATATTTATAAAAAAACAAAAATTTACAAATGTATTCAAAAATATTTAAAATTTAAATTTTATAATTTCAATTTTAACACACGCACATAAAAATATTTACAGTTTTGCAATAAATAATAATTTTTTTGTTTTAATTTAATATTAAATTTTAATTTCATATTTAAAAGCGTTAATTTAATTTTCTTATTATTTCTCGAATTTGGTTTCTAAGAATCTATATTGATATACCCAAAAAAACTTTCTTATTAAAAATTATTATTAAACTATAAAGATTTTGTTACAAAATTTTTATTATTAAAATTATAAAAATAAAAAAAATTATTTATTTCAATTAATAATAAAATTGTAAGATAATTTTTGTATGAAAAAAATAAAGCCAAAATAAAATAAAAAAAAAATTGCCAAAAAAAAAATTATTATTTTTATGAAATTAAAAAGAAAATTTAACAAAAAAAAAAAAACAAAACTATGATCAAAAACAAAAAAAAATTAAGAAAATGAAATGTTAACATTAAATTTAATTAGGAGAACAAAGTAAAAACAAATAATTTTTTTATTTATAACATTAAAATAATAGAAAATTAAAACCAAAACCATTACATTATGTGTATAACATTTAGGATAATATAATAACTAATATAATTATATAAAAATTTTAAAAATAAAACTTAAAAAAAACCACAAAAAAAAAAACAATTTAGGATTGCATAAGAACGAACGAACGTTTTAGATTTATTTGAAAAAAAAAATCAAAAAAAAAATTAAATATAACAATAGAAGAAAAAACAATAGAATTTTTAAATTATAGGAAAAAATTAACTATTAATATTTATATATACATATAAATAATTATATATGAAAATTTATATTGTATTAAAATTAAATAAAATTTTTAAAAAATAAAAATTAAATTAAACTTGCAATAATATAGATACGAATTTTATTTTTGACATAATTTTTGATAGAACAAATTTCTAATTTGCAGTATTTTCAAATCTTCTTGATTTTCTAAATAATTTAATAAAATTTTTTATTTTAATAAAAGAAAAATATCTTTGACGTTGTAAATGTCTTGACAGACGTCTCAAACACAATGTCTAATGATCAAAAATGTCAGATCACAATCCCTTTTGCAAGGTATTCGTGATGCATTATTTAGACTAATTTTTAAGACTCGCGGTGTTTTGATAAGGTTAGAACTAATACTAAAATGACTAAGATACTAAAATGACACTTCTTTTGACATTTTATGTATTTCAACTATTATAATCATATGATATAATTTATATCATTTTTATTACATCAACTAATAATTTACTTTCTATTTATTTATACAAATCCAATATTATTTAATTATAATGTATAAATTCATATCTATATTTGCAATATAATAGAATCAATTTAAAAATGCTTTGATAATATTTAAAATTATAAAAAAAAAAATGAAATTGTAGTTAATTAAACTTATTACACACGATAAACTAAAAAAAATATTTAAAATTCATGCATAATAATATACAAAACATTTAAAATTTTCAAAAAACATTAACATTAAAATTAATATTTACGTAATACACACATTTATATGTATATATATATATATTTGTTTATGTATATATATATGTATATGAAATTTAATACATAAAATCAATGAAACAAAATAAATAACTATATAAAGTAAGTTAACTTCATAATAAGAAAATTTAAAATATTAAAAAAAAATAAAAAACACAGAAAGAAAAATTAAGAAAAACTAAGTAAATAAATTTCAAAAAAAAATATTGTTGTTAAAAAAACTAAGAAAAATTGTTATTGTTATAAAGAAATGTCTAATTTTTTTATTTTGTTTTTTTTATTATTATTTTTTAAAGTATATACTCAAACATTTACCAAAAAAAAAAAGAAAAAAAACGAATAAATAAATGGTTTTGATGTGTGACACCAAAAAAACAATATAATGTTTGTTTCTATGTGTCAATGTATAAATTAAAAATAATTAAATTTTATTAAGAATATGGAAATTAATATTATGTATAATTAAATTATGTATTTTTAATAAATAGAAGAAACTCACAGGTTTGGTAGTGTTAAAAGAAGTTCTCTCATAAAAACATAAAAATATACTCGAAAAAAAAAATCCTCTGTCACTAAGTTAAGTTTATAATCTAAATAGAAGGCCCAAAACACAACGCCAAAAAGGACGCTCGTATGTATAACAGAGCCGTCTTACAGTATGTTAAAGATTTGTAAATAACAATCGTCTGCAATTACGTTAAGTAATTTTCGCAATATTGACACTTCAAAAATTATTTCAATAAAGCGGAAACTTTAAATTCAAAATTAAAATGGTTTCTTCGTCATTTAATTTCATATTTCACATATATA